CTATAATGATGCAATGGAATATTTATATACGAGATAGATTCGAGCTAGAAAAATAATATAGAAAATCGATATTTATAAATAAATAGATAATGTACATTCAATAGTAATAAATAGCTATAATTATAGTATATGTTCTCATCCTTGATAAATCAAATTATTGGAATAATATTAAGAGTTAATGAAAAATATTCAAATTCTGAGCAAATATATTGAAGATATAAAACTGGCAATTTTTTCACAATTTTTGAAATTACCTTGCGGTAAAAGGAACTCATTAATTTTTTTTTAATAAGATGACTGCTTCTTTAGTAGTATTTTTAGTGAATGCAGATTTTGTATTCTATTTTGTTCAACAAATTATTTTCGAATCGATTTGAATTATAACCCAGAAGAAAATTTAATCATAATTAAAAAAAATTATCATGCTGTGACAGAGCTCTGACACAATAAAACTGATATCGTATATAACTATGATATAAACTACTCTATTTATAAAACATATTGTATAAGATAGAATAGTCAATGATAAAATAAAATGATTATCAAAATACTTTTACATTTACTAGAGTAATTCATAGATTGCGCGGAAGGTACTTATGGGCTATAGGATATATAAACCGTGCTATAGGAGTACCGTCGCGTTGTATGGAAACCGCGTTCTTAAGTTTTTGCGAGTAATAAGAAGAATGAGTGTATATTTCTCAAGTCAATATTCATGTTATATGTTCGAATTATTAAGAAACGACACACGTATTATATAGTTTCAAAATATAGTTCTACACAAATTCGATAGAGTTGGAAACGTATTGCATCAACATTGACTTCAAAAAGCATAAATTATTGAAACGAAATTGCTAAATCAAATCAAATGTACAAAATAAATAAAGCCGAAGGCATTTCTCAGACAGAATAAATAAATTAAGTGTAATATACAACGACATATTTTTTGTCAGTTAAGCAGAGGAACGTAGTATTTGAATAATTCTGAATTTATACTCGGAATAAAGATGTTACGTTGTATTAAATTTTGAAAATTATAATGTATATGTGAATAACCCATAACCCACTCATTTTGCCTTTCAAAATATTATTGAAATTTTACTAAATATTATTAAATTTTCCAAATTGATTGAAAAATTTGAAAGTAGTAAAAAATCAAAATATCTTATTTGATTTGATGATTTCTTTAACGTTGGTTCATCAGTACATTATTTGTGCATGAATTAAAAAGTGGAAGTATTAATTTATTAGTCGAAGTAGAAAGGTAAAGTAAATCATTACGAAATAAAACATCGCGATTGTCTAACAAATTAAACAATTAATTCCTGTTTACCCCCCTTCAGGATAAAATTTCGAGTCTTGACTTATTCCTAATAACCATAATTTGAATTACAGAAATAACATTGAAGCAGAAATGTATCTTATAGTAAATACATGTCTGCTAGGCTCCTTCAATCTAATATAACGACGGAGTAGGATTTTCGCGTTGATAACATTTAATTAAATTTTGACGTGCCGCATCTATCATAACCGAATTAAGTCTAGAGTCGTTTGTGTGGCTTCTAGGCATTGAAACATGTGGATTTGTCATTTTGTCTTAAGGCAAATTATTTCAAGGATGCGCTGGCTTGCGACAGTCGTTGTGAACCCAAACAAAACCGATAACTAGTTAGGAATTGTCTTTTCTCCATTATTGAACTATTAAATGTTAGAACGAAATGAGTTGTATCAAACTTAAACAAATAATTTCTTATAACACTAATATATACCCACATTTGCACTTTGATTGACTCCAGAACCTCTAGTATTCACTCACCTAATTCAATTGACACTTTAATATGTCAGGAAACAACGTGATTTCAATAAAATAGTATACAATTAAGTATAAAATAGTATACAAGTTGAACCATATACACACACGGATACATACAATTCGGAAAATGTTTAATTAACAAAAATTAAAATAATTTTTGATGAGTTTTTCAGATTTGCATATGATAAAAATTCATACCTAAATTGATTCCAACACGTTTTTCATGCCATTTTTTATATAGATGTATTAAGTAATTTACCAAGATCACATTTAGTGAAATTGTAAAATAAATTATATCTATTAACTTTCTATATAGTTATATTAATCGCAAACAATAACATATTTTTTTTAATAGCTTTTGACATTTGTTTGTTTGACATATCTATTAAAAGTTTCCAAGTCTTCTGAACATTTTGGCAAACTTTAGAAAATATGTATGTGTGTGTAGTATGCATTTGTCTGCATATAAAATTTTTACTCAATTTTTGATAACATTTAGAGAGCACGGATTAAACGAATTTAATAATTTAAAAAACATTTTACTTAAGTAAATGGACAGAATGAAGAATTGATTACATTTTTTTAAAAATGCCTCTAACACCTAGTTTTTATTTTTTTCTAGATTTACTTTTAATGTAGTTTCTTCTATGAAAAATATAACTAATAAAAATATATAGCTTAGCAATTACATTAATTATAATTTATAAGCGATTATATTTCTAAAACCTAACAAGCAATAATATGAACTTTGACATAATTAACTTCCCGTAGGGTAAGTTATTGTAATCGTCCAAAAATCGAAATTGAAAATTTTTGCATTTCTCGACGTTTTGAATTTTGGCATACCTCAGAAAAAATGGATGTGTGTGTATGTATGTATGGATACAATTTTCCAGCCACGTTTTTGGGCGTACGGATCAACCGATTTGAATGGTTCAAAAAACATTCGATTACTATTGATAGGGAGATAGTGCTGATTAGTTTTTGGCAGAGGCAGGTCCAGCAGTTACGGAAATAAAGAGCATCCGATTTGAATGATCTAAAAAGCATTCAATTTGTAATGATTGGGAGAAGGGATGGTTAGTTTTTGGAAAAGGGCAGGCCCAGCCATTCAGAACATACAGAGCAAATGTGCAAAAAATGGTTTTTGAAAGAACTAAGCGTTCGATTTAAATGATTTAAAGAACTTTCTGCTTGTTTTAACAAAATAATTGATTTTGGAGAAAAAAAAAATTTCAAAAAATTTTTTTTTGTATATCGAATATAATTCAGATTTTAATTTTAATTCTGACTAAAGTTCTAATATACTTTAAACAATTAATTTCAACTTTGCAATTCAGTTTATATAATTCTTATAAATATTGACAATGTTACAGTATTTATTTATAATAGTCTATTTGAAAACATTTAATATTCTTCGAACATTTTGTTACGGTCATGTCACGATGCCATACACCCCACTAGTTTCGATATGCATTTACATTTTTTGTAAGGAAAGCAAAATTTTCGTTGAAGTACATTTAGACAATCTTTTAAATTTAAGCACTACTTGTATCTTGAATACTTGTATATTAATGCATAATTAAATATATGGCTTTAAGAATAATATTCAGGCTTACTTCCTTGACATCTACAATTATTGTAAACCAATTCAATGAGCTTCAGTAACCGTTATCATGTGATTTTTGAAGAATATTTCTGAAGTGGCTGCAATTGTGATCTAAAGCAATATTATCTTTCAAGAAAGATAACTACTTTAGTATAGTCTAAAAGAGGTTGACAGCCCATGGCTTGCAAATTCTGCACTACTTCTTACTCTAAGTCTTAGTAAGCTACTGTCAGAACCGGCATGTGTGTTGTTTCAACGATGCTTTTGTAGGAATGCCTGTTATTCCAAAATAGTCAAGTGGAATATATGGGAACGAAAATAACATAAATGATATTAATATTTCACATTGTTAATTCTGTTATACATCAAATTATTTACTTACAAATGAAGCTGGTATTGTAAAATATGAGCAAAACTGCGATGTAAAAATAACCTTTGAAAGCAGGGCTAGGCTACGACTTTTGTACAAAAGCAAAACTTTTATCTTATTTCGTTCATTTTTTAAGTTTTATTTCTAGAACTTTAACTTTCATATTTTTTGTCGGCTCACACAAGTTCGCTTGAAGAAGGAGTCCAAATATTATGCCGTCTATATGCCGATAGAATTAAAAAAAGTTCTCACATCTTACTTATTTTATTGCTAATTTTACATTTTTATGGTAACTTTTTGATTAATTGGTAGAATTATCTATGAAGAATTATATAAACATCAATATACAACTATACATTTCTCATACAATAAAATATCTTAAGAAAGAAGAAAGAACACAAAAGAAAAAAGAAAAAAGAAAGAAGAGAAAAGAAAGAAGAAAGAAGAATGAAGAAAAATAAAAGAAAAATAAAAAAAAGATAAGTGAAAGAAGAAAAAAGAAAGAAGAAAAAATATAGAAAAAAAAGAGGAAGAAAGAAAAAAGAAAAAAGAATGAAGAAAAATGAAAGGAAAAAAAAGATGATAAATGAAAGAAGAAAGAAAAAAGACGATAAAAGAAGAAAATAGAAAAAAAGAAGAAGAAAGAAAAATGAAAAAAGATAAATGAAGGAAGAAAAAAGAAAGAAGAAAATGAAAGAAGAAAAACGAAAGAAGAAAAAAGATAGAAAAAAAAATAAAAAAAGAGGAAGAAAGAAAAAAGAAAAAAGAATGAAGAAAAATGAAAGAAGGAAAAAAAGATGATAAATGAGAGAAAAAAAAGTAAGAAGACGATAAAAGAAGAAAAAAGAAAAAAAGAAGAAGAAAGAAAAAAGGCCAATGAAAACAAGAAAAAAGAGTAGGAAAGAAAAGGAAAAAGAAAATGTAATTATACAAAGGCAATATATACAAATTTATTTAAGATATACAAAATTTATTGCTTATACCTACTATATTTTCAAAGCAAATGCAGAAATCATATTATACAACAAAATTTGAATATTTTGCTATATAATATTAATATGCTCAACGTAGTACGTCTTTCTACGATCAATTTATTTCAAGTCGATCACAACCTCTAACTTATACAATAATTTATACAAAACTTATAACGAAGTACTTACATAATACATTTTTATCGTTTTTTACCATTTTGACCATTTGCACGTACGTTACGTTTTTCCTTGTGCGCCTTTCTTACCTGTCGAGAATGCTATTTTGAGCAACCTTACAACTGGGGACTCGAACGCCATAGAAATTGCAAATGACATCATGTAGGAAGCAACTGCATTGCCCATGTACACGATTAACTGAAATGAAAAATCAGTATTCAAATAAGCATTTGGAGTGATATACTTGCAGTAGGTACTTTGCAGTAATGTATAATATTTAGACTTGGACGTAGGATTTACGACTATATATAAGTCATACAGGCAGAAATAATTTTTATTAACCGTGCCACTTTCAGAACTAATTTAAGTAGCTATTTTAAAGTTGATTATAAATGGTAAATTTCATTATTTAAAAAAAGCCACAAAGACGCGCATTACGACTAATATTTTAAAGTCCACATTGATATAAGAGAAAACACTTATTAACAAAAAATCATTACATTCATCAACTTATCAAGATAAACTATTATCAAGAACAAGGCCTACTTAGAGAATTTAGCTTCTTACATGCTTATTTTACATTCTATACTAACTTTTGATATCGCAATCGTGTTAAACATATAAACTTTTACAAACAACTATTAACAAATCAATGTTATTCTATGTAAACTGTTATTCTTATCACAAGATGTATATTTCGAAAAATAATCATTCAAAAATTTCTATTTCATATATAGAGTAGGTATTTATACTGTTTCACATAAATTCGCTTCACATATATTGACAATTTCATTCTTCCAATATTAATTTTTATAATCAATATCTATATCCAAGCGCTCCAGGTTCTTTTATCATGCAAATCTAATAATAATTTTGTGTTTTATTAGTTCATTTGAAATGAAATATAGAGATATAAATAGTTTTTAATAAAAACTAAAATGAAGTTATTGATATTTTTCAAATTTCAATAAAAGGTTGATAGGTGATTTAGGATGGGAATTTTATATATTTTATTAAATCATAAACTGTTTTAATAAAAATTTAATTCTGTTTTTACTCTTAAAAACTCAAAAAATCTTTATTGTATACTTTGGATACTGTACTAAACAAACAAAATCAAAGGTATCTGAATTACCTTCATAAATTCCACTAATAAATAATTTTTGCTATTAGAGAATAACAATAAATTTTTGTTAAATAGTGGTTATATTCATGCAATAAACATATCACGAAAAGTAGTTTTAAAAAAATGTAATTAACAAAGGAATATAATTTACAAGAACTCAGAACAAGAATTTCAGAAGTTTTCAAATATTCACAAAATGTTAGTGAAATTGATAACCATCAGAACCCAAAAATTACCTAAAAAATAACATAGTCATCATTTTTAAGAAAAACATTTTGGTCGGATGTAACTGCAACAATAAATACTATTTTAATATTTATTCCCCATGTAATTTTCAATATAAATTAAACTTAACAAATAATTATGTACCTACTAAGCTATTCCATATACACACTTATATACTTTGATTGATTTTCATTTAAGATAGTGTAAAAAAATCGTATCATTTTCAAAAATATTCATGCTTCTGCTACATGCTAGTAAATTTATTATTATTAAACATACACTGAATTGATAATAAATAGTGATCCCAACTATCAATAATCAAATATTAAAATTTAATAACTGCCTTGAACACTTAACTACTTAAAAATTTCATAACGGTAACAGCGCTCAGCTTTTTGATAATTTACCCCAAAAATACTCCCACAAATTATGTAAATGTATAGGTAAAATAATTAAAATTAGGGTTTATAATTCCATACCCCTTACATCAAATATAATGACTAAAATAAGTGGTAAAACGATGTTATCAATGGATATATAGAAATACTTTTTTATCAAAAGAAAACATTAATCAACCTTGAATTAAGTGATAAGTAAGTAATAAATAACAAATTTAGGATATATTTAAATTAAATATTATGCTTCATTTTTGTGATATTAAAATTATGTTAAGTAAGTAATAGATAAAAAATTTAGGATATATTTAAATAAAATATTGCGTCGTTTCATTTTTGGGTTTCAAAAATTATTTAAGCACTTACACATTAAGTGAACAATTCTATTGAAAAAAATATTTTTGTATGCATAAAACACTTTCGTTACATATTATAATACTTCGACTATACAAAACAAAGTATTTGAATAAAACTATTGAACTAAAAATTATTCAATTCGTGTTTATGTTGTGACAGATCATAAATTTTTCCGAGTATATATCCCTTATCCAGTGCATAGGTAAATGTACGTTAATAAAAACTTACATAAACTAGCAGTAAATGTAACAAAAAGTTTTATATCTTAGCTCGAAAATGTAAGCTTGTAATAAAAGCAAAACTGTATTAAAATGATCTATGAGAAGGATACGACACATCATAATATATATGATCAAAATATAGATACATAGTACCTATTATGAATTAATGAAGAAACTAGCTGTAAGTGGAATTCTGTCATGGCATCGTGCCTTGAGGCAAATTGCTGGAACTTCCCGCACCGTAACGAAATGTTCGAGGAATATTGAATGTTTTCAAATATATTATTATAAATATTGTAACATTGTCTAATATTTATAAGAATTATATAAACCGAATTGCAGAGTTGAAATTATTTCTAAAGTATATTAGAACTATAGTCAGAATTAAAAATAAAATCTGAAATATTTTCGATATACAAAATACTAAAAAAAAAAAAAAAAAAAAAAAAAAAAAAAAAAAAAAAAAAAAATCCAAAATCAATTATTTTGTTAAGACAAGCAGAAAGTTCTTTGAATCATTTAAATCGGACGCTTAGTTCTCTCAAAAACTGCCATTTTTTACATAATTAGCTCCGTATCTTCGAAATGGCTGGGCCTGCCTTTGCCAAAAACTGATAAACACTTTTCCCAATCATTACTAATTGAATGTTTTTTAGATCATTCAAATCGGATACTCCGTTCGCTCAAAAATTCGATTTCTATTTTCTGCATTCTTTGCTCCGTATCTCCGAAACGGCTGGACCTGCCTTTGCCAAAAACTAATCAGCTCTTTTCCCAATCAATAGGAATCGAATGTTTTTTGAACCATTCAAATCGGTTGATCCGTGCGCCCTAAAACGTGACTGGAAATTTGTATCCATACATACATACACACACACACACACACACACACACACACACATCCATTTTTTCTGAGGTATGCCAAAACGTTCAGAAACCTTCAAAACGTCGAGAAATGTAAAAATTTTCAATTCCGATTTTCGGCCCATTACAATAACTTACCCTACGGGAAGTTAAAATATATCTTAGAAAATCATGCTGTTGGAAATAGATATTTATTTGATAGATATTATTGTCCAATTTATATATTTGTTGAATAACGAACAAATTTTTCACCAGTTTAGTATTGAACAAATGATGCCATAACAAATTAGTTTGTTTCAAAATGTCTTGAAAAATAAGTAAAGCAATAGAGTTATTTAAAATTGCCAAAATTTGTAAATTGAAGTTTTATTCTCTTAGATATAGCAGTTCATTGTAAATGAGCTAAGAATTACGTGAAAATGCAAAGCCGGTAACTGCTATTATTATTTAAACATTGGTTATTTAATAAATAAATAAAGAATAATTCAATCAAATAGAGTTTGTGAAAGACACTGTTATATATATATATATATATATATATATATATAAATTCTTTTATTTAAATATATATATATATATATTTATATATAAAGTTACATAAATATATATAAATTGTTCAATAAAATATATATAATTTAAACAAACAATTTGAATCATAACCCATTTTTTTCTAGAACTAAATTAATTTTAAATAGCCCTCAAAACAATGTCCATATAAATAAGATAATCACAACCGTATTTTGCAAATATGTAAATACATACTTCCAACCTAGACTAAATCAATAACTTTTGGAGAACTTAACATCAAGTAAAAAAGAGATTGTAACGATTTAAAAACATCTTTACTTACGTTTTGATTCATAATTCAACATCGGTCGATATGAAGTTTCCACAGAATAAAATAACACAAAATAATAGTATTAAAATATGACAATCACATAATTTGCAGGTAACATAACTGTCATTAGAAATTTAAAAAAAAATATTTTTGCAGAAATCAGAGATGACCACCTAAGGCAAATTCGGATTATATATTAAAAATCCAAATGGAACATTTGGAACTACTCATTTTAGTACGCTTTATTACGAACTTATTTAAGTTTTTAACAAGAATTTAGGAATAGTTTTGATTCCATTTGCCAAGACTCTAAAAAGATTTTTTTCTCAAAGAACATTTTATAAAAATGGTTTTACATCAATATTAAGTTATTGATTTTATAGAAATAAATTCGATACAAGCAATTTGAGTGAATAATTTGAAACATAACCCGATTTTTTCTAGAACTGAAATTAATTTAAACTAGTGGGGTGTATGGCAACGTGCCTTAAGGCAATTTGCTGGAACTTCCCGTACCATAACGAAATGTTCGAGGAATATTGAATGTTTTCAAATAGATTATTATAAATATTGTAACATTGTCTACTATTTATAAGAATTATATAAACTAAATTGCAAAGTTGAAATTATTTGTTTAAAGTATATTAGATCTATAGTCAAAATTAAAAATAAAATCTGAATTATTTTCGATATACAAAAAATTTTTTTTGAAAAAAACAAATTGAAAAAAAAAGTTGAAACAATTTTTTTTCCCAAAATCAATTATTTTGTTAAGACAAGCAGAAAGTTCTTTGATTCATTTAAATCGGACTTTTAATTCTCTCAAAACCTGCCGTTTTTTGCACATTTAGCTCCGTATCTTCGAAATGGCTGGGCATGCCCTTACCAAAAACTAATAACCACTTCTCCCAATCATTACTAATTGAATGTTTTTTCGATCATTCAAATCTGATGCTCCATTCTCTCAAAAACTCGATTTCTTATTTCTGCACTCTTTGCTCTTTATCTCAGTATCTGCTAGACCTGCGTTTGCCAAAAACTAATCAGCACATCTTCCTATCAATAGGAATCGATTGTTTTTTGAACCATTCAAATCGGTTGATCCGTGCACCCGAAAACATGACCGAAAATTGTATCCATACATACATACACACACACATACAAACACATCT